GACAAATTGAGTGGCCAAACGAGCATTTAAGACAATTATTTTTTATATATATTAGGCATCCCTAAGAGCTATTTTGGTAAAAAGTTAACCCTATATATATATATATGTTCTTCCCAAACTAGGAAATGACGGGAAAAGTCCACAACTACCATTGTTTAAAAAAAATTACAAAAATACCACCCATTCCCAACAATTTCCAAAAATACCATCGTTCATTAAAAACCGCACCTCTAATGGGCGGTTAATATACAAACCGCGCCTCCTGGCAGCGGTTTACATTATAATTGCCTCGTCAACATGCGTTTTTAAATTCCAGCTAAAACCGCTCCTGGAAGGCGCGGTTTATATACTAACCCTACCACAAAACGCTTCAAGAGGAAGCGTTTAAATGTCGGCATGATAAACCACCCCACCAGGCGGCGGTTTACCATGTCCAGACATAAACCGCTGCCCCAAGGCGCAGTTTGTGTCTGGTCACCTGACAGCAGACATGTCGGCATGCAGGGGGTGGGGCTGCATGGCAGACCTAAAACCTCCCCCCGGGCGGTTTGTGCTGCAAAATTCGCCTATAAAAGGCTGTTTCAGAGAACTCAAATTCTTCACTCTCCTCATCTTCCTTCTTCAAATTTCAGTTTTGCACCTTTAAATTATTTAGTTTTTGCGATTAACGTTAATTCGTAAGGTTGTTTTGTATTACTTTTCATTGTCCTTTGTGATTTTATGTTAGTAACTTAATTACTTTTCATTGTCCTTTGTGATTTTATGTTAGTAACTTAATTACTTTTCATTGTCATGTCCCTCTTGTATTACTTTTCATTGTCCTTTGTGATTTTATGTTAGTAACTTAATTACAGTTTTATTGCAGATGGCATTCCAAAGGTTCACGCTTGGGTTGCGGTGGAATGGTTACATGGAAGAGACCGAAAAGGGTGTAAGTTACGTCGGTGGCAATTTTTATAAAATGAAGGTCCATACGAGACCGATGCTTGAAGAGCTCCATCAAATGTGCACTCAGATTACCTGCATGGATGGCACTATAAGAGTTGATCAAATGGTGTATCGATATCCAAACAGACATGACGAGTCACTGTGGAATGAGGAATTCCTCCTTACCACTCAGGAGGACGTTGATGCCATGGTCCAATTTTTGACCACCAATAAAATTAAGCAAGTGGAGATGTTCGTTTACACCGAGGCCGTCGAAGGCAGTGTAGGTCATTCTGGAGATGGCCAAACATCTGTTATCCACGGTGGGAGTGTATTATACGAAGATCATCCCCAGCAGGATTTCCAAGACTCGAGCTGGAGGTAGGAGTATCAACATGGAACTAGAGGTCATCATCAATCCTTCCCTTCATATGAAGAAGAAGCTCAACAGGCGGATCACAACCAACAAGCAGGCTACTAGTACCCACCCGAGTACAACTTCTATCAAAGCGGTGTTAGTTACCACAACTACCATTACGGAGCTGGTGAAGGTGAAGGTGCCTTTGATGATGATAATCAGATGGAAGAAGAGGTCAATCCAAGTCCAGTTAGTGACCCTGAGGTTGAAGAAGAGGAAGGCGAAGTTAGTGCAGACAGCTTCGATCTGCTGGAAGGTGCTGATGATTCCGGTCCAGATTCAGACGCAGACGGTGATGAGGTACCTCGCGACCGTGTACCTATTCCATACTACAATCACATTCAAAATGAATATTGGTATGTTGATGCCGACATGGACCAGCCAGATGTGCCAGTATGGGGTCCACTCACTGGCTTTACGAATGGACAACAATTTGCAATGAAGAATGAGGTCCGGCATGCTATTGCCACTGAAGCAATGACTCGAATTTTTGAATGGCAAACAACCCATTCCGACACAAAGAGGCCGATGGTTCGATGCAAAAATAAAAATGAGGGATGCAAAGCTAGGGTCCGGGCCATCAAGAGCAAGACAGTCGGCCATTGGTCATATCCCGTGCGGTGAACACACACACATGTGTGTCATCAATAACATCCCAAGGCCATCGACAGTTGAAATCAAGGGTGGTTGCCGCGGCTATCAAACATCTAATTGAGGAGCAGCTCGACCTGAAGGTGAAAACCATCATCGCCCGCATTTCTAGTCATTATAGTTATATCATTAACTACAAGAATGCGTGGCATGGGAAACAGAAAGCAATGGCTGCCGTTTTGGTGATTGGGAAGAATCATATGCATTCCTTCCCAAATTGATTTTGGCGTTGGAGGTGTCTAACCCTGGCGATGCTGCTAACCACTCATATTGACAACAACTTTAGGTGGTGGCGTAGAGTCCACACAAAGAACATCACCATCGATGGGCAAATCGGTTAGGATGGTGATGTCCTTAAGTGTGATGGTGCACTCGCCTTCACGAAAATTGAAGCAGTGTTTCTCCTTTCGCCATCTCTCTACCAATGCTGTGATGAGTTGGCGGTCGACCTTGATTCCATTAAAATGCCTAATCGAATCCAATCTTGCCCTTTTTAGAAAGGGCAAGATGACGTCGTTCCATTCAAGCACATTCGTCGTGCCCCTATAGCGGACTATATGGTATGCATCCTAGAGAAGAATTTATATTTCACTATAAGTTGATGATTTATACATATATAAATATATTATAAGATGCAATATTAATTAAATCAAGGTTGTTTTATAGAAATATACATTATATAATAAACAATAATTTTAACATAACTAAATAATATTATAAGATGCAATATTAATTAAATCATGGTTGTTTTAGAGAAATATACATTATCTAATAAACATTAATTTTAACATAACTAAAATAATTTTCTAAGATGCAATATTAATTAAATCAAGGTTTTTTTAGAGAAATATACATTATCTAATAAACATTAATTTTAACATAACTAAAATAATTTTCAAAATTTAAGTATAATTATTTTTGTACACATACACATAAAATCAAATATATTATTTTGTTAATCGTATTGATTATTTTCAATAATTTAAAGGAATACAAGTAAACTCGTAAGACTCTTAGGAGAGGTATACATCTCCTTAGAAACACAATCTTTTTGATAGAAAAAGGGGGGATCCGAGGATCGCTTAGAACCCGATTTTCCCTGGTCATGGGGGGATCATGATGATCGCTTAAGTCCCCATTTCCTTAGACATGCATTTATTTATAAAGATTCTAAATAAGTGTTGTATTGTATTGATTTAAATTATTGAAAATAATCAATACGATTAACAATTAAGTAAATTATTGTACAAACAAATAAATTACTTTAACAAAATACAAATTACAAGTGATGATAAATACTATGTACCTTGTGGTCGTTCCAAACGTCTCTTGAACGATAATTAGCTTGATCGTATAAAACAGTCGGATCAATCGGTCCTTGATCAACATAATATCGTTGATTGTAAATATCAACATCCGGCCCAACCTACGATAGCATAACACCAACATAAATAAATTAGTATATAAATTAAATAAATCATTATAACAACAACAACAATTGGGTAAAATGAGTACGTACCGTTTGATAATCATCATATAAAATGCCCTCTTCTTGGATGAAATCGGCCATTTTTTCCGAATCCGGACAGAGATTCGACGGTTTTTGAGTGAAAACCAAAGAATTTTGAAGGCAAATCGGACTTAGCCGCAACCAACAAAATAACTAATTCTAAGGTTTTTGGGTGGGGAGGGGTGGGTAGAGTGAGGAGTTAGAGGGAGAGAGGAGGGAATGACTTTGGTGTGCAGAAAATGAGAGGGGGAAGGGGGGTTTATATAGGGACGAAACCGCTTGAGGGAGGGACGGTTTCGTCCTTTTACCCCGTCTAAAACCGCGCCTCAAGAGCGCGTTTAGATTTCCCCAACAGTCAAACCGCGCTTCGGGGGAGCGGTTTGACAGAGCGACGCGGATCGCTGAGCTGGCGTGCGGTTTGGCTGTCAGATAGCTCCCCATCGCGCGGTCTCATGCACCGCCACGTGGCCACGCGGTTTGACAGCCAGGAAGAGTCAAACCGCGCGTTCCACAGGCGGTTTGACCCTTAACCGCGCCTTGGATGCGCGTTTTGATTTATAACCGCGCCTTCGAGGTGCATTTTATGTGGAAGGGTGGTATTTTTGGAAATTGTTGGGAATGTGTGGTATTTTTGTAATTGTTTTTAAAGTGGTAGTTTTGGATTTTTCCGGAAACGACACCCTCATTTTGAAAGTATGTTTGAGCTATAACAATAGAGCCCATTCAAAGGCTCAAGATAGGGTGCCCATCAATAACTAAATCTGGACCCTTCATTTAGAAAATTTGGATCCTTCATTTAGAAAATCCAGATCTAAGAATGGAGAATTAAAGGTCATTTTTATTTTCTCTAGCTTTTTTAATCGGCTCATATCTTCTTCGTTTTAACTCGGATTTTAATTTTTTTTATCAGATGGAACGAGTTCGTTGTGCTCTGAGATCAATTTTCAATATCTTTTGAGAAAAAAAAATTTCTTGCCTCTCGGTACCAACTGCATACCATATGGTATCTTCTTCGTATTTAATTCGTTTTTGAATACGTTTGCACAGAAGGAACGAGTTCATCATGATCTATTGGATCTACAAATTTATGGGTGAACAAATTACAGGACCAAAAAGTACCACACAATACCACCCTGGTACGGGGTGGTATCTTGTGGTACACAATGTTAAAAGTCGTAAATGACAGTTAATATACTTCTACTATCATGTATTCAACCATCCTACTGTCTTGGTTTGTTCATACCACCATGGTACGCTTGTCAAACCATAGGTATGATCTTATTTCAATACTAGTCAATACCACATGATATAGACTGGTAAAAAATGACTCAATTTTTTTTGTTCGAAAAATATATCAAAGTGGATATCATTTTGAATAGCATAATTAATCTGATCTAACTGTGAAAAAAAAATTAAATTTTGACTTAAAACGAGTGGAAAAATTGAGAGGGATGCTGATGTGGACCGTTCCCCATTCAAAGGCAAAAAATCGAACTACAATAACTAGTCATTGGACCTGCCTGAAAGTCCAACGACATCATATCACATCATTAATGTCACCTCCCTTGTATTGGTGAGGTTGTATTGGACTTTTGGGTACGTATTTGCTTGAATACCACTTTTTTTTTCGTGCATGTACAACCTCCCTTGTAATTACCACACTCACTCGCTCGCTCGCTCGCTGGTAGCTCTTTCCCCCATATATGTACACATAAACGCACCACAGGCTTTCCCACTTTCCGTTTTAAAATGTTTCTGAACTCAGCAGCGTCTTTTGCCACACAAAACGCCTTTGTCAGATTTCCCCACGGCAAATGGCCGCCTCCACAGTCATCATCATCATCATCTTCTTCTTCTTCATCGTGTCAATGGGGCAGCACTGTTAACCATGGAGGAAAGGGGAGCCCAAGCAAGGGCAGCAGCAGCGTAATTAATCGACAGCATAATAAAAATCATCATAAAGTAATTAGAGCGGTGATCAACATTAATAAGGCTGAGAATAACGCGGTTCCGGACAACCAGCTGATTTTAGCATTGGATGAGCAGAAGCAGAAGCAGAAGCAGCAAGGCCTTGGAATTGAGAAGTTCCTGAGCGGGAAGACTTGGTTCATCACTGGTGCAACTGGGTTTGTTGGTAAAGGTAAACCTAAGTCGCCGGTTCCAATTTTACTTCTGATCAGCTTCACGTTCATGCTAACTAACTAGTGTATTTTAAATTTGTAGTTCTGGTGGAGAAGATATTGAGGTCCATCCCCGACACAAGGAAGATATACCTGATGATAAAGGCTAAAGACACTGAAGCCGCCCTGCATCGCCTGAAAACTGAGGTCATTGCATATATGCTAAATATGCATACCATATAACCCTAGCTACTTAATTAATTAAATGATGGCCGGACGTATCATTAATTATTAGCATTTCTTTGTCGCCGATGTGCAGATAATAGAAGCAGAGGTGTTCAGCGTGCTGAAGGAAGAATATGGGGAGTCCTACAAGAGTTTCATGCTCGCCAAATTGGTCCCTGTGCCTGGAAATTTAGCTCCTGAACTCGGAATCCATCCGGAAACTGCTGATTTGGTCGCCGGAGAAGTGGATCTCATCGTCAACTCAGCCGCCAACACAACTCTCGATGAAAGGTCTCTCTGGCTGCTGATTTATTTTGTACTTAATAACGTGCATGTCAATTCTTGATTAAGAAGTTAAAAGTAGTGCATATGTATATGCATATGTGTATGTAATGAATTTTGTGGGTGCAGGTATGATGTTGCCATTAATACCAACACCAGAGGAGCAACCAACCTTATGGGATTTGCCGACAAGTGCCACAACCTCAAGCTCTTCATGCACATCTCCACAAGTATATACGTTTACATTCTCTACTTTCATTTCTTACATGGGGTATTAATCAATTAATTATCTGGAAGTTGGGGTGCAGATTAATTAATACATGGCTTGTTTTGGATGAGATATTATAATAAAATATTTCAGAAAAAAAAAATGTCGCTAAACGTACGCGATATTATGTGCAATTGTGTTAGATGGATATATATATAGAGAGAGAGACTAGTTAACTTTACTGGATGGTTTGCTTGTTGGTTCCAGATCTGTGGATCCCATAGGAAAAACCAATACGAATAGTTGAATTTCGAAAACAGTTAGAAAATATTCAACGATTAACAGTTATAGAATTGTTAGTTAACTGATGACAGGACTGTTCATTGTTACAACATAAAAAACATATAATACACTAATTTAGAAGTGAAATTAATACTAATCATATGTAAATTTAAATCCATATCATCTATCACCAAAAAAGTTATAACAAAGTATTCAAATTATCTGATGAAAACAATAAAAAAAATTATATTAAATTCAAGTTAGTAATCAAGGTGACAATTCGTAGAGGACCACATAAAGTTGACAAGGAGGCTGAAAGTTGAAGAAAACGAAGCATAAATAAAATCAATGCTTGAGATTTGATAATGTTAGTTTATGTTAAAGTATTTTATTTCTTAATTTCTTGGTTTAAAAACCGAGGTGGTTCATTCTATTTTCATATCAAATCGTGAAAAACTGTTGGATCCATCTATAACCATGCAATCAAATGAACCAACCACTATTATAATTGGGTTGTCGTTCTACTGGACCAACCGTTAATCCGGTTCGATTATTATAACAATGCTACTATATCTCTAATTATTTTCATTATTCTAAATTCTAGTATACTTCGTTTTTAAACACATCTATATATCCAACTTCAAGAAAATTCATCATGAAACTCAACCACCAAACAAAAATGTTTTCAAATTCCTAATGACCCAAATCCACAACCAAGCCTTCATTTTTCAAATCATATGCAAAAATTTATTTGTAAAATCTAAAAGCAAACAAATCTACCATGTCCAATTTTGAGTCATTTTCAAATGTTTACAGTGCGTACAAGCATTTGAAACTAGCTTGTGTTATTTTGGAAAGTGAGAAACATTAATGGCGATGCAATACAGTACATTAAATGGTAGAAAAAGAAAATTAAAAAACAGAGGAAAAGGTTTGTTGGCATCTAAAGAGATAACACCTAATTTCTGTATTTTTTTTTGTATTTATTTATGTAAATTTGTGCTTATTCATGCTATATTGGTGTTTATTGACGTAATAGTAGTCGTTATTCACGCAAACGGTAATGATCATGGTCTAGCTTCACTAACTGTAAACTGTATTTACCACTTTCTAGATCTCGGAACCAGATCTACTTTCTCATTAGAATTACGTCTTTTTCTCTCGATATCACGCAATCCGGTGTTATTCATGCATATTGTTATTTATTCACGTTGTTGTAAAAAAATTAATTTTAAAATATATTAAAATGGATGTCATTGCATGTGTAAATTATGATTAATACAACTCATTTCCACAGAAAATTGAAAAATCCAAATTTAATTCCACAAAGTATGACCAATACAAATTATTATGGGAAACCAATTTAAAATTTTATTTGCATGAGTTATCATAACTCCTACATAAATAATCAGCAAATCACGTGAATGAATACAAAAATACGTGAAATTAAGTGTTGAGACTCTTTATAAGGTGGCACAAAACTTTTCAAAAGAACAAGTGGGGTTAACAATGGACACATGACGCGCAGTTTGTAGGAAGAACTGATCTGCCATTGCCTAGGCCATTTTCAGTCAATTACATTACATGTGCACGTTCTGGGTCGTGCTCTGTCTGTCTGTCTGTCTATGTGAACGAACTGTAAGGCGAATTCACAACGATAATAAGTATATATTGGTTGCGTTTGTTGGATCAATATCAGTATACGCGAACGGTGGGAGAAGCGGCAGAGTAATGGAGAAGGCATTCAGCGAGGAAGACGTTACTACCACAGCAGCACTGGACGTGGCAGCAGAAATTCAACTGGCTTTAACTCACTCTGCTGCTACACCAGCTGCCGACCACCTCAAAAGACTGGGCCTTGAAAGGTACGTACCACATCATTCATGAATTCACGTATATATATAACGTTCAATCCTTTTCTCCTTTTGTTTAGTAATTGTATTTGTACGTGCAACACTCTGTACAAGAGTAGTTATGGCGAAAGTGACAATTGTGACATGTTGGCATTATGGCATGCGTACTTTGTGTTCGTGCATGCCATTATATCGTCTGCTACGTGCATGAGATTATTGGGATAACACATAATAACTCTTCTTGTACTTCGTTCATCATCAGGGCCAGAAAATTTGGGTGGCACGATACTTACACCTTCACAAAAGCTATGGGAGAGATGATGTTGGGGGATTACATAAAAGACATGTCGTCGGCGATATTGACAAACTCCAACAAAGTGCCCATTGTTGTACTTCGACCGAGTATCATTGAAGGCAGTTATGCGCATCCATTCCCCGGCTGGATTGAAGGAAACAGGTGTCTATCTATCAAGACCCTTTTTATGATATAGTAACTATTTAATTTTTTTTGGTTTGCTGGATCATTATAACCTAATTTTTAAGTGGTAATAGCATTTTATATTCTAATGCCATTCTTAAAGCAAACATATTCCACACAAACATGTACATAACAGAACATACCCTTTTGTCCAAATTTTACTTAGTTAACCGTTAAAATGAGTAGAAAATGACAAATTACCTCTCACTTATTTTCATATTTTTCTTAATTTTTTAAGAAATAAAAAACTAAAATTAAATTAATTTTTAAAATCTTATTTTTCTACTCCTTTTAGTTATTTGTTCACGTTTCTTTAATTCTACTGAAAAAATTATATAATAATTGAGGGAAATTTAATCATTTCTCATCTCCTAACAATCAGTTAATGGAATTTATAATAGAGATGTATTTGTTAACTTACAATAGTACAAATAAGAATGAGCAATGGGATAAGAAAATAATAATTGCTGAAACCACTTTCTCGGAGCTAGGGTTTCTGGCTTAGCTGTGCTTGCGAATGGCTTCTCCGTCAATGGGGTGGCCCACCGATGGCCGCCGGTCGCCTGACCCTACTGCAGGGACAAGGAGACCCCCCACAGCTACATCTTCACCTAATACCGCTGCAGAAAAAGAAACGGAACAGATGAGGAAACGTTTGAAGCAATCCTACGCATGCCAACTCTTCGAGTCGGAGGCTATGGCAGAGGATTTCCCAAACCTGAACTCGTCACCTGGAAGCCCGCAGGTGAAGGGTACTGAACCACCGCCCTCGGCATGGACATGTCGGCGTTTGTTTAGCGAGTTGATTGGTGATGATGCTTGGTATGTGGCCGAATCGGACTCAGAGGAGGTCGCTGAAACGATGAAGGACGACGAACTGGATGATATGATCCCTGACGATGATGATCCGTTGTGTCCTACAATCCCATTCAAAGCAATGGAAAAGATCCGGTACTGGAGGAAGTGGCGGTCTTCCCTGATCGTAAAGGTCTTGGACCGTTATTTCCCTTTCTCGGTCTTGTCAAAGAGACTGGAAACTTTGTGGGCAAAACATGGAGGACTCCAAATCTATAGCCTCTCGTTTGGTTTCTACGTGGTTTGCTTTACCAGTCAGATGGACTACGAGCAAGCTGCGGCGGGAGGTCCATGGATGATTGGAGGCCATTACCTCAACGTTCGGCCTTGGAGGAAGGGTTTTCCACCCGCATTTTGCTGAGGTAGCCTCCACAATGGTGTGGGGCGACTACCTAAACTTCCTCTGGAGTTTTTATTGTGAGGAGGCCGAATGAATTGGCCAACGTATCGGTCGTGTAGTGCGAGTTGATAGAGCGACATTAATATGAGAGCGGACGTAGTACGCCCGTGTATGTGTTGAGGTTGACTTAAAAAACCACTCCTATCTCAACACCGGATTGAGGGTAGGACGTACTATATCGAGTATGACGGTCTCCATAACATACGGGCACGCGAAAACGGCTTGCCCATCTCTCTTCGTCCCTATGGCTCCTGAACCAATGGACAACACCCAGCCGAAAGAGAATGAAACAGCTTTGGGCGAGGAGAAGCCATTGTATGGCCAATGGATGGTATCCAAGCCTAAGGGCAGGAAGAAACATGCGCAGGGACATGAAAAACCTCAGGCTAAGGAGGCCTCATCGGGTGGAAAGATCAATTCTGAGTCTCATTTCAATGCTCTTGCCCACGATGCTACTGAACAAGAGGTGATGGATATAGGTGACTCGAGGCTGGGGAATCCTAGCTCGGGGAGAAACTATGAAAACGTCCCCTTCGCCTATGGAAATGGATAAAGGAAGCCCAAAGCAGACAGTGGTTTGCTCAGAGCCTTCACCTATGTGTAGTGACTCTTAGGTGGGTCGGGTTACTCGGGTTGAGAAGACAGCAGCGTCGGAGTTAGTTGATGTGCCTATTCAGGTGGCCCATGCTGCTGGTTTGCAGACCGCTACGATCATTAAGGAGCGCACAATGGAGGCTACTCCTGGGGCGAAGTCTGGGAAGGTGACAATGAGTAAACCCCAACAGACTCAAGGGAAACCGACGGGTAATCTGTCTTTGAAGAGTACAGTGGCGAGGAATTCAAGCCCGGTGGAGGTCAATCGCACAATGGAGGCTACTCCTGGGGCGAAGTCTGGGAAGGTGACAATGAGTAAACCCCAACAGACTCAAGGGAAACAACCGGGTAATCTGTCTTTGAAGAGTACAGTGGCGAGAAATTCAAGCCCGGCGGAGGTCAAGAAAATTCAGAGGGAGCTCCCTACTTCCTCCGTGTCCCCTACCTAATTATCGGCGTGGTCGGTACCCCTAGGAAGTTTCTCTTCCTCTCATTTTGTTTAGTAAATTTATTATGTTGAACATTCTTTCCTGGAACTTCCAAGGGGCATGTCATGACCTTTTGTTTCTTACTTGTGGTCATTTTGTGGGTCGTCTCGACCTCATATTGTGTTTATTATGGAACCGCGTATTAACGGGGACACTACACGGAGTGTTATTGCAAAGACTGGTTACGATGGCTGCTTAAAGGTGGATGCTGTTCGTTTTTCAGGTGGCATCTGGGTTCTCTGACAGGAACAAGATCTCCAGGTCACTCCTCAGTATGCATGGGAGTAGATGATCCACATGAGATGCTCACGTCGGAGTTCCCCAGGATCGGAAGTCTTGATATCTGTGGTTTACGGGAGTCCGAATACTGGCAAGAGATTGGATCTATGGGACGAGATTAGACGCATCTCCGGTCGAGCCTCTATCCCTTGGCTCCTAGCGAGGGACATTAACTTTATCCTTAGCCTAGCGGATCAGATGGGTGGCGCAGGTTTCCATGCTAATAGGGCGAGACCCTTCCGACAATGTGTTCATGACTGTGGTCTTATTGACATTGATTTTTCAGGACCACGTTTCACGTGGAAAGAGATGGTTAGCTTCAAACTGTCGGAAAGATATGGTTTCCCTCCATTATTTTTTAAGCGATGTTGTGGAACAATTTCGGATGCCATCTTCGAGTTTGTGACGGCGTGCTACCATGACCCCTCCAGGATTGCAGAAGTAAATGAGACCCTATTATGTTTGATTGAGAAGAAGGAAATCCTAGAGCTGATTACTCAGTTTTGCCGTATATGCCTTTGTAACGTGGTCTATAAAATGATCATGAAACTTTTGGTTAATAGGATTAAACCGGTGATGAAGAAGCTTATCCATCCGACTCAGACAAGCTTTGTGCCTGGCAGACACATCACAGATAATATTATCATCCTTCAGGAAGTGATATATTCCATGGGACTAAAGAAGGGGAAGAAGGGACAGATGGTGATCAAGATCTATTTAGATAAAGCTTATGATCGCCTAAGCTGGAATTTCGTCAAGGAGAAGTTAGAGAAGAGAAGTTTGTTGACTTGATTATGCACTGTGTCACGACCCGAACGATGCAGGTCCTTTATAACGGGAACATGAACAACCCGTTTTACTCTAGCTCGAGGTCTTCGCCAAGGCTTTCCCCTATCGCCGTACATTTTCACTATGTGCATGGAACGGTTGAGTCATACTATTGAGCTAGCGGTCCAATGAAAGAAGTGGAGACCAATCCGTACATCTCCAGGTGGTCCTCCGCTCTCGCACTTGTTTTTTGCTGAGGATCTTATATTGCTCGCAGAGGCTAGTGAGGAGCAAGGGGTGGTCTTATTGGACCGCTTAGATCGATTTTGTCTAGCCTGTGGTAAGCAGGTTAGCAAGGAGAATTCTATAGTTTATTTTTCAGGGAACACCAATCGATCAGACAGCGTTGCCATTGCTCGAGGGTTTGTGATTCCGATGATGCATGATCTGGTTCGTTATCTTGGAGTACCAGTTCTTCATGGTAAGGTCACAAAGGTAACATATAGCTATGTCTTGGACCGTCTAGCTAACAAACTTTCATGGTGGAAAGCTCGCTCTCTTAGCCTGGCGGGGAGGGTTACTTTGGCGGTCTCGGTGCTGAACTGTCTGCCCACGTATGCCATGCAAACCACCCTTCTGTCCCAGACGATTTGTGATCAAATTTACAAGAAAATCCAAAGCTTCATTTGGGGCTCAACGGAGGGAGCAGCTACATCAGGTTCACTAGGCAGCCCTTTGCCGGCCTAAAGAGGAAGGAGGTTTGGGGCTGCGGAGTGCCCATGAGTTGAATCTTGCTTTTTTTTAAGCTAAATTGGCTTGGTCTTTTATTAAGGAACCAGATGATCTTTGGGTACGTGTCTTGAAGGATAAGTATTTCAGGCAAACTTCAGATGGCATGGTGGTGAAGAACTCTAATCGCATCTCCAACGTCTGGCGGAGCATGAGACGTGCATGGCCCATCATGGCCATGGGTATGCGCATGAGTATCAAGGATGGTTGTGATACTCGTTTCTAGACCGATCGGTGGGTTAACTCTGGGGATCTCCTCCTGGACTATGCGTGAGAAGATGGTCCACCGGTTGATCCTTCCCTGCTGGTTGAGGATTTCGGCACTGTTACCGGTGAGTGGAACCTGACTCTACTTTGTTCTATGCTGCATGAGGATGTGGTTTTGTAAGTTCAAGGTATCCAGCCCCCCCTACCAGGCTCGGGAGTCGACATAGAAACGTGGGCACCAGAACCGGATGTGAGTTTCCGCGTTAAGTCAGCCTACGCCATAGCAGCTTCATGTGAGGACATGTAGTCGAACGTGGACTGGCGGTGAGTATGGCATTGGCGTGGCCCAGCTCCGGAGAATCTTTTCCTATGGTGGCGGTTCGCGGACGTCTGCTCACCAACCAGGAAAGGACGCAGCGACATCTTACTAGCTCTCCGCATTGCCCCCTCTGCAACGAAGGTCCAGAGACAGTCTTGCATGTGTTGCGGGACTACCCTTTTTCCCATTTAACTTGGAGCAAGCTCCCTCAGCTTTCTAATCAACATTGCTTCTTCGACAATACGACTCAGCAATGGATTCTAAAATTCCTCAGTGACCAGCAACATGGGATCCTTTGTTGGTCCCTTTGGAGGGCAAGGAATGACTGTGTCTTTGCAGGCAAGGTCATTACCAGTGAAGTCTTTGTACAACACGTCCTAGCATGGGTTAATGTAGTGCAGAGTGCCATGGACAAAGACAGGCTCGTCCACATGCCTAGTCTGCCCATTAGAACAGAGGTGGGGATCTCGTGGCAACCGCCCCCTCCAGAGTGGGTAGACCTGGCAATCGGTCGGGTTGGGTAATTTCGGGTAGTGAACTTCGGTTACGGGTCGGGTCATGTTTGCTTGGCTGATTTCGGGTCAAATATTGACCCAACCCATTCGGTTTCGGGTCGGGTTACAAGTCATTTCGGGTTATGAGCGTTCTCAGAAACAATATCAACATGCTTAATATTTTCTTATAGAACACAAATTTTCACATATGCATGACAATAGTTTACCTAACACATGTCAATTAACATATTCTCAAATCCTCCCACGCTAATGAAATGAAATACAAATTGCGCAAATCGGCAAAAAAAATCACAAGAGTAATACTACTACAAGAAACACATGATATTTGATTATCCTTAAACTCCAAACATGTCATTCAAATCCTTGTAATTTTTTTTTAACATCTCACCAATTTATGAGTGATTTTATCATTTTGGAAGTGATATGTAAAATGGAACGGGTCTAACGGGCAGACCCGCTAACTCACCCAACCCAACCCAAAAAATCATGGGTTATCGGGTTCGAGTCATTCGGATTTTGGGTTACAAAAATTCCTATTTTTTGGGCGATTTCAGGTCGGGTCAACGGATCGGATTGTAATTTTCCAGGTCTAAGACTGGGTGACTCTCAATTATGACTGTTCCGTCCTTACCACATTAGGCCAAGTAGCTGCGGGCGGCCTGATTCGAGATCACAAAGGATGCTGTCTTGCAACATTCGCTTTGAACTTGGGGATTTGTTCCATCACCCGAGCTGAATTGAGAGGCGTGGTAGATGGACTTCAACTGGTTTGGGACATAGGCCGTCGTGTTTGAGTGGAAATGGACTCCTAGTGTGTTGTGCAACTTCTACAGAACAGTGCTCACGCAGGCCACCAACAGGCGGCTATCATAGACCGTTTTCAGGCCCTCCTTGGGCGTCAATGGGAGGTTTTGGTTTCCCATATCTACAGAGAGGGGGAAATGTGTTGATTTCTTGGCGAGTCAGGGTCACTATTTACCTTTGGGTTTTCATGCTTTTTCAGTTTCCGATCCGCGTCTGAACTATCATCTACTGTATGACTGTCAAGGTCTTTCTGAGTTGCGTTTTGTGGTGAATGAAAGCTCAGATGCTCTGCATCCATTTATAAGAAAAAAGAATGAGCAATGGACAGGCCACCACTGACTAAACCCACCCAGTCTTGACCGACCCCTTTTTGCCATAGCAAGTGCTATTAACCATCATATGGGAAAACCGTTGCTAATAATAATTATTATCCACCATTTTTACTTTTAGCCATGATGAAGTTACCACTGTTCTTTTATCGTGGTTGAGTATTAGCTACCATATCTTTATTATTAACCATCATTTTTACCCTTAAAAAACAAACCATCATTTTTACCCTACTTAAAGATGTATTTTTCTTTAGTGTCGATACTCTTGGATTTTATATTTAATTATCTTGTTGCAAACTTTTATGATCCATAATTTTATTATATCAAACTTTTAAACCACCAAAACTATTAAACCCATCCACTCATAATGGTACAAATGGGTTGTGTCTATCATTTTTCATCACCCACCAAAATTCTAGATGGGTGGATTTTAGCCTAAACATCACCCAACCTGCTTATTATCCATCCTTAGATAGAAGGTACAAAAAGCTATTAACTCAATGTAATCACACATAGTTCATAATTTATTTATTTTCTTTTCGGGTAATTGTAGGATGTTAGATCCCATTTCTCAGAATTACTGTAAAGGCCGAATGACAAGTTTTCCCGGACATCCTGATTCCATCGTCGATGTGGTAAGTTCATTGATTTGTCTAGTCTCATCATCAATTATTGACAACCTAACTAGTGAGTTACTTATGTCTGTTTATTAACTAGTGAAGCAATATTGGGCATGCGTGCTTGCAGGTCCCCGTCGACATGGTAGTAAATGCAATATTGGCAGCAATAACTCGTCATGGCGCCGCGGAGGTAACCGACAGCAGTAACAACATGGTGAACGTATACCAAATAGGTTCGTCGGTCTCCAATCCAATGACTCTGAGTGAGCTCTTCACACTGTACTACCTTCACTTCGACTCTTCCCCGATGATGATCAACGGCAAACCCATTCGCCTCAATAGCCCGCTCGACATTTGCACCTCCATTGATGAATTCTCCTCCACCCTCCACCCTCCACCCGCCGGCTCCCGCCTCGGCCAAAGATTGCGTCAGGAAGCAATCCGTATGGCTACTTTCTACCTGCCCTACTTGTCCTTTATGGGAAGGTAAGTTTATGAATTAGGTGGTCCTTTGCTTTATGAATCATAGTTCGGTACGTGAGTTTAAACTTCTTATCTGTTTGTTTTATATCATGTGATTAAACTTAGGTACGACTGTAGCAACACAGAGAAGCTTATGGAAGAGATGTCGGAGGAGGAAAGGGCGGAGTTTGGGTTTGATGTGAAAATAATCGATTGGAGACATTACATTGCTCAGGTGCACCTCCCTGGCTTAAGGAAGCATGTCATGAAGGAGAGACTACTGGCAAAAGCACATGTTTGATTATACATTCATAAGCTGATCTTCCTGATAGGAAGAAGAGAGTGTTCGGTCTTGGTGTATTTAGGACCACAACCTCAACTCCCATACATACAAGTTTTACCATGGGCGGACATGTATGTGATTTTCACCCATTGAATTCACATTGGGTTTGTGTAGTCATGGACTTCATGAATTGATCACTTGTTTTGTGAATATAGGCAGCCCATTTAAATTAGGAAATGAAATTCCTAACAATTTCCCACTTAGGATCTCTAATTTTCACAAACACTTATACTATGAAATTCTTTAGGCACGCAACTGTATGTTGTTTGTACAACGACTACTCCTTAACATTTTGGACCACCTCATGTATCAATTATGAAACAACTACGACTTTAATCATGATATGGCAATGATTAAACCACCATGCTCACTACACCAATACACCCAATGACATAGATCAAATATGGATGAGTGGCGTGAAAATTACATGCAATATGATCTTTTGACAACTTTAATTCTTAGTGAGATCAACTCAAATTCCTTCTTATTATAATGTACCAATGTATAACTGAAAGCAATTTCAATTCCAAAATACTCCAGAAAACCTTCACTTTATTCTGTAGAAATTGATTTAGTCATAATCTATTAAACATCCATAAATGACTCTCACTAAACCAAAGTATGATCCGGAATAACACTCATGCTAGCTATATGTTCTTGCAAAACTTTAAGTGTCAAACCTTTGGCTAATGGGTAAGTTAGCAGAAGTCAGGTTCTTAATGTTTGACAGAAAGTTGTCCATTTTGAACCTTCTCTTTAACCTTCAGGAACTTAATGTCAATAACCTTTGACTTCTGAACTCCTATTGTAAAGATAGTGTACCACTATAAAACATTATTGTAAAGATAGTGTACCACTATAAAAACATTGTCGGGGTTAACCTTTAATGACTCTTCAATGTCCCACGAGTGACAAAATCTCAAGAAATAACATAAATGGAAGCATCATAACAAACTATGAACTTAACCCAACACGAAAAGGTATTATGATGTAGAGTTCATTTAGAAAGGTTTAGAATATGTGTGCTTGAAGGGCGAAAGGAGAGGAATACTGTAACCGGTATCCAATGATCATGTCAGACCCACGAATTGTTCTGCCATCATCAACTCGCTTGGCATCTTTTGACATCAAAGTAAAACTACTTGATGATCTCCAAATTATCTGATCTCTAATAAATTTATATGTATTCTTTTATCATCTCTAGTAAACACATTACACGTTCGATTCTTTCTAGTATTTCATGCTCAAATTACTCAAATATCTGCAGAATATTCTAACTATAAATTCAATATTGGGATGAGAATGAACTAAAGCAACATTAGATTCATTAATGCTAAATGCGTAAAGGAACTTTTAACCCTTTTTTTTTACCATAATTGGGATATTGATTAAGACTATAATGTCACATTTAGGCTTTAGCTACATCTCATATCTCTGTTTACAAACTATCCACTTAAACCTAATCTACATAGTTCTTTTGAAATTGAGTATATATCGAGAATGATATTTTCATACCGCAATACCCAATAGAAAAATATATTTGTTAGAAATTTCTCAGTTTTGTTTAATATACTATATCACTTCAAGTAAGTAGAATGGCATGGACATGTAAAACCAACAAACTAAATTTACTCCCCTAAACTTAAGTACACACAATCATTCTCCAACATTAGTCTCTAATTAAATTCGAATGAGCTCATAACAAAATTAAATTTGTGATATCAACAATGAGAAGCCTATGTGGCTCACATATGCATTCATTCAATTTAGAAAAGCCTAAAGTTATTTCGTCAATATGAGCAACAATTATCATTATATCTAAAAGTATTTTTGAATATGGTAGAGAGAAAATCTATTTGTAGCCAATGTCTTCTTTATAAGTAAAGTCTCTATAGACCAACATTTCTTATTTCTCACAATGTTCTCATTGAATAAGTTGGAGTCTTCATGAAATTTAGCAATATCCTTAACATTGTCTTTCGTAGATTTCATCATGTGACACCAATGCACTATTCAGTAGGGGTGTCAATCGGTCGGTTTCGATTTAACCGAAAATCAAATTCTCGATTATCGGTTAAACTGAGCCACCCTCAAGGGCTTCTGGCAACCGACCGTGAGAGAGCTGCGGTTAACCGACTAACCGACCGCCCGGTTTCGGTTTTAGGCTCGGTTAGCCGCATACCAAAAAACTTAGCCAAAACGTTGGCGTTTAGTTCAACCAAAAAAACCAAAAGTCATTGGCGTCTTCCTCAGAGGCCACACCAACTACTATTTCTCTCTCCTTCCTCAATTTTAGATCTATTCCTTCTCTCCAGTTTAAACAGGCAAAAGCAGCAATCGCAAGGGAATGGAAGCGCGACAGCCGGCAGGAACCCGTCGACACGAAGCAGGTGGAGGCGATGGGCGCAGGGAGAGGAGGCGTTGGCCTTCTCTGTTGATTTTCTGGGAATGGTGGCACGGCGCGACAGGACGGAGGTGGAGGCGATGAAGGGCCCGAGCAGTGGAGGTGCTCGCCTGCGCGACGCGACCGGACGGAAACGAACGAGCGCGGCGGCGATCCAATGTGATGGCAGAGGCGGATGAGCGACTGCTCTTGGACGGAGGCGCGGCGCAGGGAGAAGTGGATTCTACAATTTTTCAATTTTGGGATTTAGGGTTCGTCAAATGGGGGAGGGGAATGGTTAATTGGATTCAATGCATGCTTTATTCCTCCTCCTTTTTATATTTTTCGGTTATGGGTCGGTTTGCCGGTTCAACCGCCTTCGGTTACTCGGCTAACCGGAGAACCCTTCAGCCTTGCTGAACACCGACCGCGACTAATAAATGGCCGATTTTTGGTTAGTGGCTAACCAACGGTTAGCGGTTAAAACTGTCGGTTAGCCGATAACCAGAAACCGATCTGCCACCCCTACTATTCAGTAGTAGAACTATGCATGAATTTACTAAAATAGACGTTGTCATTAGTCAACCTGATGTCATGCTTATGTTATTTGAGGTGAAACGATATTGTTAACTAGAATCTCACATCTTCTCTTGTGTGAATATCCTTAACAAAATTTCTTGAATGTGTTGAGTTTGTGTAGTCCTTCCTCCCAAAACTCAACATACTGAATAAAATCTCATATTTCTCATTTAAAAATTTGTTTCTTGATGTGAGATAATAATTTATATCCCCATATTAATCAATATATTGCTACTTTAAAGCCCAATCATCCCAACACACATCATTATTGTTTTTATCCAAAAAAAAAAAAGAAAAAAAAAGGAAAATCATAAGAAGACCAAAACTTATTTCTCTCCCTCACTAATCTCTAACCATTTTCTTCATCCCTAACCCCCGGAGGAAGCAGCCATAAGAGGTCACTCATCATCGCCATGTGGAATGCTCCGGTAGAGCTTGATTCTCACTGATGCTTCTTCACCATTCCCCAAAATCTTCCTCTTTCTTTGGTTTCTTCTCCCCTGAATTAAATGATGGCTAGTGAGAGAACCTTAGCTTGGTTTTTTTGGTATAGTGAAAAAAATTGACTAGTGTACATGGAACCGAGGATCATTGATGAAGACATCCAAATCTTGATGGAGTTAGAGGACGAATGTATTGCAAGGTGGAAACACTATTTAGTAAGGAGATTCCTTACCTCATCTCCCCACATTTGTCAAATTCAATCTTGGGAGAACATATTATCGATTCAGGCAGGTGATATTAGGATTTCGTGGTTGGGTAAGAACTTCCTGCTTTTCCTATTTTTTGTCGTTCAAATAAATCCTACTTTTCCTATTTTTCACTATTGAAGCTACAGAGTAGGTATTCGCGAGCGACCCTTAGCATATGGGCAATGACATGTGCTACTATGAAAGGGGCGTCGGGAATTCATGTAGAGAAGCCACGACCAGAGGTATTGATGTGAGTTTGGTTCATGCATTTACCACAAGTTCTAAGGGGAAAAAGTTATGGGGAAAGAGTTGCATGTTTTCATGGCTTATATAATGTCAACTCTAGAATGTAGGGGGTTGTCATCAACATCTGGAGCATAGTACCTTGTAACTGTGACTGTTAAATTATTCTCCCATCTGATAGTGAATTCCAAAGGTCACTGGTAAGGTAGAATCACCATGCTTGTTTAAAAAAATTCGTTTGGTGTTTTGTAGTCTTAGTATCTTTCGATGTTGGTGCAGTCATGGTATAATACCCCTTTAAAACAAGAGGTAATTTTATAAGCAACTAGTAGATATAAGGTATACAATTTAGCTATCCTTCAAACAAGGGCTAGTAGAGAAAATATGAAGAAAATAATATTAAAAAACTTGATTTTAAAAATGGTTTTCTACACAATGCAACATAAATTTATTTTTTTATATAATTATTATGACAAAAGCTACTAATTTCACCAATCTCCATAATTTTTGGTAGTAATCAGCGTTTCAAAGGTGTAAACTCATTGCCAAGCCAATTAATCAAACTAGACAAGTCATATGTACACCATATGTCTTCTTACCTTCAAGGAGATGACTCTAGATACGTTGGATTTTCATCCTCTGTCTTAACATTGGGTGATGTTTGGTCAACATATGCTACCGTGGACGCTTTGTGTGGAACTTCTTGGATTGTTGCCTAAGATAACCTTTCTAGCTTATTGATGTCAAACACCATAGGTGTGCCTTGCACCAAGTCCCTAATCACACCCTCTTAATGATCTTGTTTTGTTGAGGTAACCTTGTTTGTCCTCATCCTAATGCATGTTTGTTCTCTCTAAATTGTTGAGGTGATAGATGTCTAGGCTAAAAGACTCGTTTCCATTAGTGTGGCTCCATTGACTACATCTTCTACCATACAAACTTTTTGTATTTTACACTTAATGCCCAAGAAATATTATCGTCTTATGCTATATGTTTGGTTTGTGTATAGTGATACTTCTCATACATTCTTTTTTGTCCACCAATTTTGTTTTCTTATATCATTCGCACTCTTGCGCATAAACTCTCCCTTTTATCGATCCTTTTACACACTTATACACTTACGCTCATTGCACACTCTTGGACATGCCTTACTACATTCTTTGTGGTTGGTAACATGGCACTGCCCATCTTTCGTCAAACTAGTGTGTCTATGAAAAAACTTAGTGCCTTATTCATTGGAAAATATATGTTGGGTGTTCTTACACATACCCGTCAGTCCATCCTTAAGGCTTCAACGT